TTGTGTATCACCACATAGGGGCAAGTGAAAGCAAAGATAAACTAAAGAGCTGCCTTTGCCTTTGTATCCTATTATAATAGTCTATACCATTGCTATTTATAAAGAACTTTATATGCTAAGAATTATATATATGCATATGTGTGTTTATACATCTAAATAATTTACTTCTCATATTCTATGAGGATACTGTTATACGTACAGAAAGAAATGCTTAGAAGGATTGTATTACAAAATAGTAATTAGTAAATCAAAGGTTCAACCTAATTTTCCTAACACATAAAATCTCTCTCAACTTCTCTCCTATGTGTCCGTGACTTCAGTCACTATCCCCTGGCCTGAGAAAAGATCATGTCTTGGGGGTCTGCTGTGGTCACACAGAGCACCATGAGGCCACTTGCCAACAGCTCTTCTGGGCCTCCTTGGGGAGTTTTCCAATATCACTCCCAGTCCTGTCCAGATGTGACGCTTTTCTTTCCTCTCTTCTTCTAAATGTGTTAAGCTCTGAGCCCTCATCATTGAATTTTAAATTATCTTCTGATTTCCTACGTGGGCCAAGAATGAGAGCATTATGGGGAAAAAAATGATAGTGACAATAAATGGGAAGCGTCTGTGAGCATCTTTTTCTTCTTTTCAAAAAGAGCTGTAATCGTGTTTTGTATCAACAGGACTCCTTCCTTCAGCTGTAACAAAGTTAGAGAAAGTGACGGTGCTATAAATTGAGAGTTCAGGAGGGGACTCTATTGACCCAGTCTTTTCAACGGGATTGGTATTACAGGTTTCCCGCATAGAAACCAGTGCAAGAATATTGCTAAAGCAATTTCATCTTTGCTAGTATCCCTTTCCTCTCCCCTTACGCCTCTGCTCTAAGTTCTCCATTCTCCTGGTTTCCACTGGGTATGTTCTCCTTCCAAACCTCAGTAACTTTCCATGGTGCCCAAGATCCAATCACCCAGGGGACAGAGTTAGGGACATAATCTGGCATTTGCCTGATTGAGTTTTCTGAGAATTGGTTCCAAAGACAGCCTTCTCTTTAAAGACCAACAGACTGTTTTATATAGACACAGAGAATGCCAAAGTGATAGGGCAACTAAGTGTTTGATAAAATATAAGATACCATCTATGTCTACACAATTTGGGGGAGGATTTTTGTTCACATAAAGAGAGAGAGACCCAGGTGAGAATTACCCCACATGGCTACTCTGATGAGGGTTTTACTTACAGAAACGCTCTAAAGGTGAGACACGGCAGGGGAGTGAAGGTATGAAACCTGAATGCAAACGTGTGACCTCCTGCGCAGCCAGCCAGAGGGAAACACCCAGGGCGTCAGGACTGTGCATGTTCATTTCTCTGACAGCAGACATGCATGAACATCCTGTCCCAAAGGAAGCAAGGGTGGGCCCGAGGGCCTCGGGGAGACCGAGGAGCCCGTAAACCACAGCAAAGGGAAGTGAACCACAAAGTGGGACGACAATCCCACAGGACCTGGGGAGCGGCCACCCTTTCAACTACGTCTTCACCAAAAGCTTTAATTGAGTCTTTTGAGGATTTTCTTTTTTCCTTGTGGGGATACATCCTTGATTCTATTATAGCAGTTAAGAAGGAAAATTGAGTTCATTTTAGAATCAAAAGCTGGAACACATCAGTTCCACAAAGCGAAAGCTGTCTTTCCATTTTAAATCATCATGTAAGAGCTTCTGTCATGTCTGTTGGATTATGCCTATCCTGAACCAGCTCTCTTTCTTCCAGTTTTCCCTCTACCATAAATGTCATCTTTCCTGGCATCCAGACCTTAACCTGCCTTCCCTTTCTCCTTCATTTTTCTAAACCAAGCCCAAAGGTAAAACACTTGCCTTACAGACCACATCAGTAGCAGATCAGTTACCTGAGGAACTAGAAACAGTCAGAAAAGGATTACAACAGCATCAGTTAAGAGTCACTTGACCTTCACTATTTCCCTCTTCACTGCCTTAAATGCCTGTGAAAAAGAAAAAAAGGGAAAAAAAGATTAAATAAACAGAACATGCTCTTCTTTACTTTCACATAGGCTTAGGCTTCTGGGTCTAAGATGAAGGGAGGGAAACAAATGAGACAACTTTTAGACTTAAACTAGCTGGGTTTTGTCATAAAAAGGCCCAAAATACAATGGAATCTTCTTAAAAGGTTAACAGAGGACAAAAATGGAGTAAATAGGCACTGCATATTTAAGATAGTGACTGGAAAACAGTAAGGCCTTTTGGTTTATACGCCACTGAATTCAGACTGATCGACAGATTATATTGTTATAATTTATGCAACCAACATGAAGCCTAGGCTAGCGCAGAAAACATGCTTTGGGATCACATAAGCCTGGCTTCAAATTCCGTGTCACTTAATACCTGAGTGAACTGGATCACTTCACATCTCCTGAGTGTTTTTTTACATCTATAAAATGAAATACCATTTTCGAGTGCACAGTCATCATGAGAATTACTCGATGCATGAGACAGTGCATCGAAAGTAACTAGCACAGTGCTAGACACAACAGGTGCTCAGTGAATCATTCTATTATCATCATATCTGATTACCTAAAAGGTCTGTTTCTCTCATGTGCACAAATCCAAATGCTATGAATTTTCTTTAGGTGCCAGCCACCTCTTTATGAATCCATCCCTAACTACCACAGTGGATAATTTTACTCAGGGACTTGAAAGTGATTGATTGTCAGGAAAAAGAAAGGTGGACATTCAGTTCTGCTCCCACAGGGCAATTTTATATAGACATAAAGAGAAAGAGATTTTGGTTCAGTATCTGAAATAGCTTTCCAACAATTTTAAGTCAATTAATAACAGATGAGATGTAGTGAACTCATCTCCTCTCTAAAGGACACTGCTGAATACTGACACGGGATAGCACATCGAACCTTTGGTGCCTAAAAACAGGGTCAATACTGGTTCTTACACTTACCAGTGGCAAGACCTTGGCCAAGTTGCATAACCTGAGTCTGCTTGCTTAATGTGAAAACAGCTGTTAATAGTACCTACCAGGTAAGTGTTGTTCTGAAGATTAAATGTTAAAAGTAGCTTCCCCAGTCCACTACCAAAAAACAAAACAAAATACTGCCCTGACCTCTGGGGACCAAGGTAAGGGCAGAGGCCTGTTGGGCTCATCAAGTCTTAGGAAAAAGTTCAGTTCAGTTGCTCAGTCCTGTCCAACTCTTTCCGAGGCCATGGACTGCAGCACACCAGGCCTGCCTGTCCATCACCAACTCCTGGAATTTACTCAAACTCATGTCCATTGAGTTGGTGATGCCATCCAACCATCTCATTCTCTGTCATCCCCTTCTCCTCCTGCCTTCAATCTTTGCTTTTAAAGACAAAAAAAGAAAAAGAAAACCCTTCTCACACTTGGAACACACTCTCATGAAAACCTCCAATAGCAGACCACATTACCATACTATCCCACATCCAGTGACTGGAGAGCAGGGTCATTTTACAGAAGGAATGAGACAATAATATGCAAGTTAGACAATGTTTCCTTTCCAGAACTGTGTGTCTTTTGTTTTTCTGGGCTTCAGGCATCTTTTTATGTAGTATAATATATTAGGGATTACCAAAAGTTCCAGGTATGTTCAGATATTCTATACCAATTATTTGGAACAACAGTGTTCTCTGTAACATCTATTATCAATATGACAAAGTGACTACCAATATTACCAAGATCCTACATATTTTCCAGCTTTATTGAATGATATCAACATATAGAGCAGTATGTAAGTTTAAGGTGTATAATGTATTAAGTTTTTTATTATTTTGATTGCAAATTAATTAACCACCACTGCCTTAGCTAACATCTGTACTACATCATCCAATTAGGATAGACTGTCCTAGCAACTTTATATAGGTATACAATAAGGTATTAATAACTATAATCACAATGCTGTACATTAGATTCCATACCTATTCATTTTATAACTGGAAATACACGTCAACCAACATTTCCTGATCCTTTCCCCCAGCCCTAGCCACTGGTAGCCACCATTCTAGCCTCTGTTTCTATAAGTTTGGCATTTTCAGATCCTACATATAGGTTATATCACACAATATTTCTTTCTCTGTCTTATTTCACTTAGCATAATTCCCACAAGGACCATCCATGTTATCATAAATGGCATAATATCCTTCTTTCTCATGACTGAATAGTAATCCATTGTACACCAAATCAAATCAATTTGATAGACTAAGTATACAAGTTTACCTTTCAAAATCAAAAATCCTTTGAGGTGACAGAAAAAATTTTCTTAAGAATTAATCCTTCATTCATCTGACAAATCACTATTGCTCTTTGGCTATGCTCTAGGTGCTACTGTGGAGAAGAGGTTAAGCAAGGTTCCTGATCTCAGGGAGATTACGTTCTGGTCAAGGTGGGGAGGGCAAGAGAAAAACTACAATAAACAACAAATAAATATACAACGTAACTCTAGCCAATGGTCTATACTACAAAAGTAATTATACAGAATAACTATGGTTGACAGTGACTGGTAGGAGGGGCTTGGGGAACTGTTTCCCCTATAGCACGCAAGAAATCCTTTTCAGTTCAGTTCACTCAGTCGTGTCCGACTGTGCGGCTCCATGGACTGCAGCACGCCAGGCTTCCCTGTCCAACACCAACTCCCGGAGCTTACTCAAACTCATGTCCATCGAGTCTGTGATCGCCATCCAACCATCTCATCCTCTGTGGGCCCCTTCTCCTCCCACCTTCAATCCTTTTGGAGGAGGTATATGTGGTTTAGTGGTACAGAATCTGCCTGCCAACGGAGATGCAGGTTCCATCCCTGAGTTGGGAAGATCCCCTGGAGAAGGGAATGGCAGCCCACTCCAGTATTCCTGCCTGGGGAATCCCATGGACAGAGGAGCCTGAGGGCTACAGACCATGGGGTTGCAAAGAGTTGGACACAACTTAGAGGCTAAACAACAACAAATATGTGATCTGAGACCTGAATGATCTACAGATACAGACTTACAAAAAGCTTAGAATATTCCCCACAGAGGAAGTAGTTCAAACGTCTAGAGTGGTCTGAGCTTGGTCCGTTCAAAGAACAGAAACCCCATTCGTTAAGAGTGAAGTGACATCCGTGAACTAGAAACTTTGAAGACTGTCTAGTTTAGAGAAAACAGAAAGGATTGGATTACCAGAGAGACAATTACAAATTTCCTAAAATACAGCAGGTAATTCCCAGGTGATACTATCTGCGGTGAGGAAATATGAAATACTAGACAAAAGTAACAGGCAAGATACAACACAATGTAGAGCAAATACCAGCTGATGAAATGCAAACTCATTTCATTCAAATGACCCACCTCTGAAGTTCCCCTGAAGAAACTGTACATTGTACTCACTCAAGTCCTTTCCATATTTCTCTCTTACAGAAAGGAGTCCTATAAGAGAGATTCTTCGAGACATTCCTTCCAGGTGCACAATTTCCAATATTCCAATGGTAATACTATAAAATTTCAGCAACTCAATTAACTTAGGTAAGCTGTTTCCTGTCGTAAGTTGAGGAACAATCAAATTTCATAAGGAAATAACTGGACTTTAAAATACAAAATGTTTTACTAATATTTATGACCCTACTAAATATTCTAAAGGAGAAATTTTGCAGAGGTTTCAATTCTAAATATAGTTTTTTCTTCCATTTTTATTAATATATAATTGACATGCAGCACTGTATTACTTTAAGGTATATGTAAGAGACACAGGTTTGATCCCTGGGTTGGGAAGATCCCCCGGAGGAGGAAATGGCAACCCACTCCAGTTATCTTTGCCCAAAGAATCCCATAGCCTAGCAGGCTATGGTTCATGGGGCATGACTTCAGTGACTTAGCACACAGAACACAATGAATATACAAAATTTGTATATAGAATGAAAATGAAAGAAGTAGAAAAAATTTTTCCCTTGTGATGAGAACTCTTAGGATTTACTCTTAACAGTTTTCATATGTAATATAGAGCAGTGTTAACTATATTTATCATGTCCCTAGTACTTATTTATCTTAATACCTGGAAGCTTGTAGCTTTTAACTACCTTCATCCAATTCCCCTTCCCCCGCAACCCCCACTCTGGTAAGCACAAATCTGATTTTTCTATGAGTTTTTGAAGTATAATTGACCGACACACGGTAGCTCCTATAATACAACATAGTGATTCCATAATTCTACACATTTCAAAATGATCACTATGATAAGGCTAGTTACAATGTAACCATATAAAGATTTTGATTGTTATGGACTATATTCCCCACACTACACATTTTAAACCTGTGATTTGTTTATTTTGTGTTGGAAGTTTGTACCTCTTAATCTATCTCACCTGTTTCTTTCCTTCCTGACCCCTCCTCACCTCTGGCAACCACCTGTTGGTTCTCTTTATCTACAACTATTTGTTCATTTGTTTTGTTTTTTGAGATTCCACATATAAGTAAAATCATACAGTATCTAAATTTCTACCTCTTCACTTGGCATAATAGCCCCTAGGTCCATTCATGTTTTCACAAATGGCAAGATTTCATCCTTTTTAATAGTTAATATTCCTTTATATATATGCCACTTTTCATATACTGATGGGCCCTTAGGTTACTTCTGTATCTTGGCTATTGTCAACAATACTGGAATGAATATATGTAAGTATCTTTTCTAATTAGGGTTCTTCTTTTATTTGAATAAATCCTCAGGAGTGGAAGTTCTAAATCATATGATAGATTTTTAAATTTTTAAGAAAATTCCATAATTTTTTTCATGGTGGAAAAGAGTGGTATTGGTTGTAACTTTTTAATTTTATTGACTTGGGCCCTCTTTTTTTGTTCTTTTTTTCCTATTTTAATCTTTCTTCTGCTTTATTCAACATATAATAATCTTATTTACTTACCTTAATGCTATACAGATTACATTTAGAAACCATGTATCTTTTCATTTGAATAAAAACTGATTTTAAGCATGGTTACAGTTCTTGCTATTAACTACTGCTACAGCAATATTTCATAGTTTACTAAATTATAGTATATTTCATAGTTTACTAAATTACTAACTGTGATTTGTTTTCTTATATTTTTTAAATTGGAGGACAACTGCTCTACAGTGTTGTGTTAGCTTCTGCTATACACAGTGTGAATCAACTCTAAGTATACGTACATGCCCTCCATCTTGGGCCTCCTCCCACCTCTCCCGGTCATCACAGCGTGGAGCCGAGCTCCCTGGGTCAAACGGCGGCTTCCCACCGGCTCTCTGTGTTACACACGGCAGTGTATATACATCAGTGCTGCTCCCTCACTTTGTTCCATCCTCTGCTTTCCTTGCTGTGTCCACAAGTCTGTCTATGTCTGCATCTCTACCCTGTAGGTACTTTAGCACCATTTTTCTAGATTTCATATATATGCATTATTATTCATTTTAAAACTTGGTTTACCAATCTTTCATGCAGTGGTTTGCAGAAAACAGATCAGCTTCTGGGCTTAGTCATATTGCCAAATACCGGTATGAATGTAGGCAATTCATAACCTCTCTTTACCATCAGATTCCTCATCAGAAAACTGGAAAAAATAATGTGTTCTGTGGTGTTTAGTCACTAAGTCGTGTCTGACTCTTGTGACCTCAAGAGTCAGTAGCCCACCAAGCTCCTCTGTTCGTGGGATTTTCCAGGCAAGAATACCGGAGTGGGTTGCCATTTCCTTCTCCAGTGTGCTCCAGTTACGCCCAAAAGTTATTCCGTAGAGTCCTAAAAATGTTAAATTATAAAGTTTTTACAAATAATATGTATTATTGATAGTCATCCATCCATTCATTGGAAAGTTTAAAATCCTTACTACACACAAAACTCTGAGGCAGACACTGCAGTGTTTCCAGGATGGCAAACACAGTCTCTGTGCTCCGTACCGTATAGAAAGGTAAGTAAGTAGTCAACGTTTCTGACCACCAAATAAGGATGTGTGGGAACCATTTCTGCTTTCCTAGATGAGAATGATGGCTGTTGTTAAATATGTTTAAGATATTTTGATTTTCTAAAATTCTACTCTTAGAACATCCCAACCCTTTGAGAGAATCTTCTAAGTGAGAAGTTATAGAGAACATATAAAAGACAAGGCCAGTCTGGGAGAGTTAACCACAGAAGACTTGTTCATTCCTGTAATTCATGTTGATTAGGTTATCCTGGTTCTAAAAAAGTTTAGAGCTAAAAATATTTTTGAGAGAGAGGCAAATTTACAGGTTCATCAAGAAGGGAAAACATTGGGAAAGGAAGATGCCACATTTTTCTATGAGTTTTGTAATGGCATCAGGTGATGGAAATCATGGATTGGTGTGTGGGAGTAGGAAAAAGAAAAAGGTATGGCTGCCAGGGTGTTTTCAAGGAACAAATTTCTGTGAGTCATAGTGACTGATTACTGTGTGTAATGAAAGATAGGGAACGTCAATAATGATGGAGCTTCCAAGCCTTCCTAAGTGGGGAAATGTTGGTGTTATTGATGAAGGAAAGGAATTTGGCATGCTGAGCCCAGTGTGGATGGAAGAAAGATGAGCTTAGTTTGGCAAGTGTTCATTTGAAGGAAGAAAATTGAACAGCTGAGTGTGAATGTTCGGCCGGAATTTCAAACAACACAGCTGGAACTCAGGTGAGAGAACAAGGTGGAAGGAATAGATTTGGGTATCATTTGCACAGACATTATCCAGGAAGCTGACAGAACTTTGTAACAGGAGAAAGAGCCCAGCAATCAGGCTGAACTTTCAGAAATGCTCAGAGTTAAGGATACAGAGAAGCAAAGCCAGGGGTAGAGACAAAGATCAAGCAAGAAGGTAGAGTGACCTACCTTGGAAATGAATAGAAGGTATTTCAAGGTTTCGACATAGGTGATGAACATATCCTTGAGTTTCTTATTCAAGAACTGTGTCAGTAAAGACAAGACAGTATAATTTTGGAGTTTGCTCTAGACACCAAGATTTTCTTTCAAGGTGAAGGAGAAATACACAAGTTGTGCTGAAATACCCTCTATGAAGACAGAGAGTTTGAAGGCACCAGAGAGGGGGGAATAAATACAGTAACAGTATCGCTCAGATGGGGATCTGGCTTGAGAGCAAAATAAGGACACAGATTCCACGGACTAGAGAGAAGAGGGATAAACATGAAGGGAACCTCTGACACTGCTCATTAAAATGGAGTAAGGAGTCATTTATCAAGTCAAAATGCAGATTTCAAGAGAATTAATTAAAGATTCTGGAGTAGACTGTTGCATAGACATGTAGTAGGCCATCATCCACAAATAAGGAAAGCTGAGGTGTAAGGGCTGATTTTGTTGAGTTCCTTCTACGTGGAAGGCAAATGTACTTGAAACCAGAATACAGGGTTTACACCTTTCAAATGTAATGCCCTGTGACTCAGGCTCAGGGATGCAGAGTCAAGAGACAGGATTATTTAGAGTGGAATTGAGGACAGCATTGAAGAAAGTGCCAGGCAGGCGTCCAGAGGATTGTGCCTCTCATACAATACTGTTTCAGATTCTTTTTCTTAAACTGACAAAACTCACCCCCCTCAACATTCCTCAAAAACTGCATTCAGAGCTTAAATAACACTGTTGCTTTTAAAAGGGGCTGCTGAGAAGTGAGGCAATGAAGCACTGAAGCTCCACATTTATCGATTTTAAATATTTTAGTTTGTATCATGTGTGTATACTCATAAGATTTGTTTCAATTATAACAGAGTACTAACCTGAACTAACTTAAACTAAGGAGGGATTTAATGGACCAAATAAGTACCTATAGGAAGATGTGGTAGGCCTCTGGGGTAAATGAAGCTGGGGATACCCCCAGGGCGTTCTCTCCACACTGTCCCGCCATGTGGTAGCTACACCTCCTCCCCGTGCAGTGACATGCTCCTCAGCGGCCCCAGTCAGGTGCGAAGTCTCATAGGACGACTCACCGTCTGATTCCAAGGTCAGGATTCTTAAAGGAGTGCTCTGATTGTGATGAGTCCTGGACATAGGGATTGTGGGCATGAGCACAGGAGCTATGTACTCAAAACACAAAAACAGAAATATAAATCAGTGGAACAGGATGGAGAGTCTGGAGATAAACCCACATACCTATGGTCAATGGATCTACCAACAAAGGAGGCAAAAACTATACAATGAAGGAAAGATAGTCGCTTCAGTAAATGGTGCTGGGAAAAACTGGATAGCCACATGTAAATGAATGAAACTAGAACACTCCCTAACACTGTACACAAAAATAAACTAAAAATGGATTAACATAAGACATGATTCTATAAAACCCTTAGAGGAAAACATAGGCAGAACACTCCATGACATAAATCACAGCAAAAGAAACCATAGGCAAAATGAAAAGACAACCTACAGCATGGAGAAAATATTTGCCAATGGTGCAAGTAACAAGGGATTAATCTCCAAAATCTACAAATGGCTCATGCAGCTCAAGATCCAAAAAACAAACAACCCAATCAAAAACTGGGTAGAAGACCTAAATAGACATTTCTCCAAAGAAGGTATACAGATGGCCAAGAGGCATATGAAAAGATGGTCAACATCCCTAATTATTAGAGAATGCAAATCAAAACTACAATGAGATATCACCACACACCGGTGAGAATGGCCATTACCAAACCTCTATAAACATACAAACAAATGCTGGACAGACTGTGAAGAAAACTGAACCCTCCTACACTGTTGGTGTGAATGTAAACTGGCATAGTCACTATGGAGAACAGTATGGAGGTTCCTTAAAAAAATTAAAACTAGAGCTACCATAAGATCCAATAATCCAGGATACATTCACCCGAAATGTTCATTGCAGCACTGTTTACAACAGCCAAGACAATCTAAATGGCCACTGAGGGAAGAATAGGTAAAGATGTGGTATTAATACATGTATACAATGGAATGTTACTGAGACATTAAAAAATGAAATAATGGATTTGAAGCAACATGGATGGACCTAGAGCCTGCCATACTGAGTGAAGTAAGTCAGAGAAGGATAAACATATGGTATCACCTATATGCAGAGTCTGAAAAAAATGATATGATTAAACTAATTTAAAAAACAGAAACAGACTCACAGAGAACAAACTGATGGTTATCAAAGAGGAAAGGTGGGGAATGGGATAAATTGGGAGTTTAAGGCTGATATATACATGCTACTGTATTTAAAACAGATAACCCGCAAGGACTTACCATACAGCACAGGGAACACTGCTAAATATTCCAGAATAACCTAAATGGGAAAAGAAATTGAAAAAGAATAGGTATATGTGTATGTATAACTGAATCACTTTACTATACACCTGAGACTAACACAACATTGTTAATCAGCCATACTCCAATATAAAACACAAATTTTAAAAAATAGACAAACAAAGACCTATTGTATATAGCATATGGAACTATATTCAACATCTTATAATAACCTATAATGGAAAAAAATCTGCAAAATGATATATCAGGGTGAACAGCTGAAACATTGCCAATCAACTATACTAAAATTCAATAAAAATAAAAATATTCATAAATAGTAGAATGGATAATTATAGTCTGTTTACACAATGGAATACTACACAGCAAGGCAAATGGGGTTGTAACAGCATGGATGAAGCCCACAAAGACAGTAAGAAAAATTAGAGCAAATAATATATACTAAATTTTTCCACTTATCAGGAACTCTATGATGTTGAAAGAGGAGCTTCTCATTGTCTAAGAAGGCACGTACCAGAAAACTGCTAATACTTTGTTTCTTGATGCAGGTGGTGTCACATGGATGTGCTGACCCTGTGGTAATTCAGTAAGCGGTATACTTCTTGTTTGTGTGCTTTCTGTAGTATGTCATACATAAATGAAAAGTTTTTTCTACAAAAATGACTGTTAACAAGGGGATGAAAAAAAAAAAAGAACTCCACTTGAGTTTAGTTTAAAGGTAGGTTACCACTACTGAAAATCACTGACAGACTATCCTACCTCCTACTTTACAAACTAGTAAACAAATATTCACATGTATTCAATTCCTGATTCTGGGTTTCACAGATAATTAGTAACAGAGTCAGAACCGAAAGCTGTTCTTGAATGCAAACCAAAATCCAGAGCGTTCCACCAATCTGCCATGATATACATGTAATATACATAAATATATGCAGATCCCCTAGCTCTGGGACCAAAGACTGCATTCACTCAGTCATTCTTTCAACCTCTATTACAAGGCAGCCCTCGGACTAGGCTTAGGGAGCTCTGTCTCCTCCCTGCAGCACAGTGAGTAATATGACAGAAATATAAACGGGGTGAGGGACACATGTAGGGAGCTATTAACTACCCCCTGGGTGGCTCAGGGTGTCTTCACAGAGGTTCTATCAACATATGTGTATTAGACCTTCCACCAGGCAGATACTTAGTGGTTAGGTGAAATCATGCAATACTGCTGGATTAGGCAGTATGACCAAACTGCATGTAAACTTAGGTTAGTCACATGATCTCTGTGCTTCCGTTCCCTCAGCTGTAAAATGGGGACAAGTTATGGAAGTTAATATATATAAAAGCTTAGGAAGGTGCTGGGCACACAGAGTGGGTACCAAGGATGAAGGGGGCTGAGAAGTCTGCCCCCGTGGGGAGGGGTGTTTTATTACTGACGTTGTTTAGAACTGCCAAAATAGGTTGGTCTGAAAAAAGCAGAATCAGTTTTTTGCTTTTAATATGGTTTTTAATTCTCTGTAGGCAATGCAACTCCTTATCAGCAAGATCTGAAGCAGGTATTCCCACTGCCCCACAATTCAACCCTCTACACTACCAGATGCATAGTAAGTACTATATAAAGGCTAGCTCAAATCACTGTTATTATTTAGGTAAGGAAAGCCACACGTAGGAAATTCTCTAGAAGTGAGGTGTAGGCAGGGCTGGGGGATGAGGGGTAGGCTTTCCTCAGAGAGGAAACAGTGCATATGAAGGCAAGGAGGTAAAAAGATTATGTTCATTCAAACCATTAGTTAATACCTGTGCCAGGAAGCGAACTGAGCTTTCCTGAGGATAGCAGTTCCATCACTGGAAAGAAAAGTGAAGCACTGTGACTCTCCTTTGACAGCCATCATTGAAGGCCACTCACAATTTCACATGAGATACCTTCAGTTCAACATTTTCCCCACTCCCAGCATTGTATGTGGTTGCCTTTCTGCTGGAGAGTTAAGGATGACTTGAAGATATCTGCCCTTGAGAGTGCAATTCTGCCAACAAGCTATTTCTACACAGGACTTAGTGTGCTGATATGAGTACCTACTTTGATGATAAGAATAATCAACTGCTTTGTCTTTCAAAGGGTTCTTAATGCCAGCACTCCATAGTTCTTTCCAGTGAGTGCAATTAGTAAAGGCAGGAACAAAGCCCAGCTAAGTAATTCATAAAAACACATCTACGGAAAGAAAACTTGAGTTTGGTTTTTCCGTCAGTCAGTGACTGGGCTGCAACCAAGGTAAGGGGCTGCCTTACAGTGAGGACTGTCACACCATTGTGGGGCCCATAGCAGATATGAGTCATCTTACTGAAGACCCACAGAGGACTGTGCTGTCTACTCAGGCTGCTATACAAACATACCAAAACACTGGGTGGCTTAAAGGGCACTGCTTTCTTGCTGTGTCCTCACATGGCAGAGAAAAGGAGAGTGAGCTCTAATCCCATCACGGAGCTTCCCCTCATAAACTCATCTAAAGTTAATTATTTCCCAAAGGCCCCCACCTCCAAATACCATTGCATCAGAGATTGAGGCCTCAATATATGAATTCTGAGGACACAAAGATTCCATCCATAGCAAGGATGAATGGTGGGATCATAACGATGCAGAATACCAGCATAGCATATAAGTGACTTCCCAAAACATACCCACAAAACATTAAACTTTATTTCAGTCAGTATTAAAAATAAGCAATAAATTTACTTTATCCTAGAGAGAAAATATCACCTATATCTATACTCCTATATGACTCCTCCTGAGGGGCCCCCCAAACTAAAAAGTGAAAAAAAATAACAGACCAAATACAGTAAGATTATCTAGAATGAAATAACAGGCCAAATACAATTATTTAGAACCAAAATACAGAGTCATTCCCATTGGAGACCATAGATTAGACAGAAGAATTTTTAACCCATGGAAAAAATATTAGTCTGAGGTAAATAACATATGATATCCCTTATATGTGGAATCTAAAATATCGCACAAATGAATTTACCTAAAAACAGACTAAGAGCAGACTTGTGGTTGCCAAGGGTGAAGGAGGCTGGGAGATGGGTGAATGAGGAGTTTGGGATTAGCAAGTGCAAACTGATATAGAACAGATAAACGAAAAGGTACTACTATAGCATGGGGAACTATATTCAGTATCCTATGAGAAATCATAATGAAAAAGATTATGTAAGAGAATGTGTGTGTGTGTGTATATATATATAACATATATATATGTATAACTGAGTTACTTTGCTGTACAGAAATTTACATGTAAATAGACTATACTTCAATAAAATTTTTTTTAAAAATTAGTCTTTGAATCTGCAAACCTCTGAACACTATGTATTAATAAAATAGTTTGGACCAAATAAGAATGATTTTTAAAAAACAAACAAAAAACCCTATTATAAAACACCCTCATGGACAGGACACAGAGGACTGCCTAGACCAAATGACACATCCTAGCATAAAGTTTAGGCCCTGGAACCCTCCACCTCCATTTGCATCCTGGCTTGACCACTCATTAGTTATTTGACCTTGAACATGTTAGTTGACCTCCATCAGCTTCCCTGTCCTCACGTATAAAATGGCCTTAATAGTACTACACACCTTTAAAGTTGTTGCTAAAATTAAGCAAAATTTGAACAGAAAGCATTTCCAGCAGTGCCTAAAGAAGAGTAAGTACTGTAATTATTAGAGAGAGGGAAAACAAAACCATAGTGAAATACATCACCACATAGGTCAGAAGGGCCATCAATAAAAAAAAAACAAACCTATAAACAATGCAGTTCTAAGAGTAGAGTTGATAGCAATACAGTCCTACCGCAAGAAACAAGAAAAATCTCAATCTACCCTTACACTTAAGACAATTAGGGGAAAAAAAAGTATGTAGAAGGAAAGAAACAATAAAGATCATGGCAGAAATAAATGAAAGAGAAATGAAGAAAACAATAGCAAAGATCAATGAAAATAAGGGCTGGTTTTGAGAAGATAAACAAAATTGACAAACCTTTAGCCAGACTTATCAACAGGCAAGTTTGGCGTTGGAGTAAATGAAGTAGGGCAAAAGCTACCAGTTTTGCCAAGAGAACGCACTGGTCCTAGCAAATACCCTCTTCTAACAAGACAAGAGACAACTCTACACATAGACCTCACCAGATGGTGATATTGAAATCAGATTGATTATATTCTTTGCAATCAAAGATGGAGAAGTTCTATATAGTCAGCAAAAACAAGACCAGGAGCTGACTGTGGCTCAGATCATGAACTCATTATTGCCAAATTCAGACTTAAATTTAAGAAAGTAGGGAAAATCACGAGGCCATTCAGGTATGACCTAGATCAAATCCTTTATGATTATACAGTGGAAGTAAAAAATAGATTCAAGGGATTAGATCTGATAGAGTGCCAGAACTATGGATGGAGGTTCATAACATATACAGGAGGCGGTAAACAAAACTGTCCCCAAGAAAAAGAAAGCCAAAATGGTTGTCTGAGGAGGCCTTACAAACAGCTGAGAAAAGAAGTGAAAGGCAAAGGAGAAAAGGAAAGATATACCCATCTGAATGCACAGTTTCAAAGAATAGCAAGGAGAAATAAGAAAGCCTTCTTAAGTGAACAATTCAAAGAAATAGAGGAAAACAACAGAAATGGGAAAGACTAGAGATCTCTTCAAGAAAATTAGAGATACCAAGGGAACATTTCATGCAAAGATGGGCACAATAAAGAACAGAAATGGTATGGACCTAACCAGAAGCTGAAGATATTAAGAAGAGGTGGCAAGAATACACAGAAGAACTATACAAAATAGATCTTCATGACCCAAGTAACCATGATGGTGTAATCACTCATCTAGAGCCAGACATCCTGGAATGTGAAGTCAAGTGGGCCTTAAGAAATATCACTATGAACAAAGCTAGTGGAGGTGATGGAATTCCAGCTGAGATATTTCAAATCCTAAAAGATGATGCTGTTACAGTGCTACACGCAATATGTCAGCAATTTG